TTAATTCCTTTTGTGTTTATCGAAATTGCCTCAAAAAAATTTGCTTTTTCACATTTTCTTTAATTTTCAAGGCCTTTTTTCAAATAATTTTTTTTTTTCATTTTCAACGGAAATTTTTTAATTTTTATTTATTATTGTGTGTTTATCAAAATTTGCTTTAAAAATTTTGCTTTTTAACTTTTCTTTTTCGAATTTTCATTGATTTTATTTCTTTTCATAAAAAAGTCAAGTTTTATATTATATGCATATTTTCAAATTTCAAAAAAAAATTAATTGGATGCATTATGAATTTTCTTTAAATTTTTTCTGAATTTTCAAAAAATTTTCTTTCAAATTTTTTAATAGTAGTTGAATTTAATGAAAAAGAACACAAATTTTTAATAAATAAAAAATTTTTTTTTTGTTCACTTTTATTTATATTTAAATTTATAACAAAAAAAATTCGGATTTTCAAAAAATTAATTGGATCGATTTTATTTTTAATAATTTTTTAATTTTTAGTAGATACAAATTCTCAATTTCCTATAAAAATAAATTTTTAAATATCTTTTGTTTCACTTTTGCTTATTTTTCATATTTGCGACAACAAAAAATTCACAAAATGAAGCAGATGAATTTTTTTATTAACGGCTTAAAAATACTTTTCATTATTATTAAATTTTAGATTCTTAATTTTTATAGTTAACGCCAGTATAAGGCACATGATAAATATAAAAAACAAAACATACAAATGTAGATACTCGAAAATAAACACAAGTCATTCATTGACGGGGCGCTGGTAATATTAACAACATTTTGTTATGTATTTACATACATATGTACATTCATGCATAGATACACACTATTAAATAACAAGAACAACAAAAACGTGTCAGTAAATTATTATTATTAATATTGCACGTATTTGCTATTTACATATGACTATGATTACAATGCATTACATACAACAACAGCAAATCTACAGAACAAGTACCATTGACTAACGATGGCAATTGTTAACTTTGTTGGTGTGTTTTTTGTTTGTTGTTAATGAGTGGTGCGAAAGAGAGAGACAAAAACGCGACATCGTTGAGTGAGAACGACCGGCGTTCAAGAGGGTTGTGAAGTTACAGATCAGCTGCTTGCGCGCTTCATTTGTTCAATTTCGATGTGTGAGGGAGTGTGTGTGTGTGTGCGAGCGTGATTGAAGAGGGCTTGTACTAACTGTAGTCTCACACTACACAAGTGAATTGCTGTAAAAATTAAATATTATTTATGCTAGCACGCATACATGCATCTTTCTCTCAGCGCGCTTGTGAATGATGAATGACAATATTGTCTCTTTTTTTAGGCCCTCTTCACTCAATGCCAGTTTTTCGCGCCACATATGTTGATATTTATTTATCACACCGTTTTTTTTGTTTTTTTTTTGTATTAATTTTTATCATTCATTTACCTTTTCGTCGGTGCGTGCGTTCTTGTCAACACCTTAAGTGTTTTTTATGAAAAGCGAAAAACATATTATTTATTTACTTGTGTTCATACAAATTAATTAAAATGCCTCTTAGCAACCTAGTCACGCTGTTTTGATAGACCATTAAAATCAATGATAACGGCCTCTGGGCATATCAATAAAAAAAGGTATTTAAATTAAAGAATTAGTATGGGTTTTATATGTTTTTTTTTTTATATACGGTGGTGCGCAGAAAACTAGGGACGCGGCATATTTTGGCAAGTTTTGGATACATATTTTTTTTGTTTTTATTTAATTTTTATTATTTTTTTATGAAAATATAGCTCACTACCTAATAAAACCCATGCAAGTCAAAATTCCTGCTTTATAGAAGACGAAGAATTCGACAAATTTCAACCCTTGTTCGTCGAAATTTCAAACTTTGTATTGTAAATTAAGAACACAAATTTCTTAAAAAAATATAAACATTAAATAATAAAAAAAGCCAAAACTTGTTAAATGTCGGGTCCTTAATTATTTTGCCGCCACTGTAAGTGATTGTTTGTTACGGATTTTTTTTTACATAGAGGAAATTTCAGTAATTTTTGGAAATCTTTTTAATTGGCGCTGTAACTGCCTTAGTTCTCTAATTGTAAGTTCTCTAATTAAATTACATAAAATACATATGTAAATATGTGTGTAAGTATTTATTTATTTATACGTGCAATTGAAAGTATTTTCACCACTTCCACCAAATGGCAGTTTCTGGATGTTGATGAGTAGTCTGACGTCACTGAACATTCTACGTACTAGACACACTTAAAATTTTAATTCAAGAAAGTTTGCGCTCATATCAAATATTTGGGTAATATACTTTTACCTGATTTCTACCTAAATAATAAAATAATATCTGTTCAAAGTAATAATGATAATAAAGCACATCAACTAAATTTTTTTAACTACTCCGCCATATTTGGAGTGCTAACAGTGAAAATTAGGCTCGTAAAGATTGGCAAACTGGTAAATAAATATTAAGTTAAAGCTAATTGGGTAATTGGCATGTTGTAATACATAGTCGAATTCCATTCTGTTCATCAGCACGTTTACTATGCGCTCCACGATTTTATGGCCAGACAGCGATCCTCTACATGGAAATCAGTCACATTTCGTTCCCTATTGAACAAATGTTAGGTGGTTTTAGGAAAATTATAAACAAAATATCTTTTGTTTAACTGAACTATAGCATTCTCAATTTCTGAGGAAGAACGTTGGGCACGCGCTGCGCTTCTACAGCTTGTTTACCTTGACACACAGCCAAATATGTGCATCAAATACAGCCCATATCAGTATTGACACTATTATTAGTCAATAAAACTATATAAACTGGTAATGTATTAGTTTTAAAAATACCATACAACAGCTATTAGACTTTAGGCAAACACGTGAGTTTTAACTGGAAATCGAGTGAAAGCCTTGGTGCTGTAAACTCATCACTTGGAAAACTAATTTCTTGGAAGTATGTAATATGATATTGTTATAAGTTTGTATACTTTTATGACAATTAAATAAACAAGGAGGAAAGAAAATTATACAGAAATTATACATATGCAAAAAATTATGAGAGCATATATTTTCGCCAAAAACACCTACTGCACTTTTATAATATGTGACCTGGTCTACGAAAAGGGAGCTTACGTGCGAAAACTAGTTTTCTGTGAAAAAGCTGTTAAAAGTAAGCAACTCGTTTCGTCAGTTTCTCATTATCTCGTTAATTGTTCTCCGCGCCGACAAACGACAACAAAGAAAAATACATAAACTACTCAGCATTATTATTTTTGGCCCATAATACGTTTTTCTAGTGTATAATCATGTCTTTATAGCTTATATATATAGCATATATATAGCTTAAATTATATTTTGTCGTATTTTTACTCTTCTTTCTCTACATTTTTAGTACACTTCTAAGCAAGTTAGGATTTTCTGCTTTTCACCACGTGAAAAAGCATCTCATCTTCCATCCGAATCAACCAAAAAGTGAAAATTGATTTTTTGACACCTAGCCCCCTTTCCGTAGACCAGGTCACATATGAAGAAAAAATTAAAAATTTTTTCTAAATTTTAAAAATGCGAAACCCCTTCAAAGCAAAAAACGAGGAACTTTGTACCATTTACAAAAAGTTTAGTATAAAATTATTAACATTTTCTAGCCGTTTCCTTTTTTATTACCTCAGTTCTGAAGTTTTGCGAATTATTTCTGCCAATTTTGAGGAAAAAAATATATGATATCATATTTTTGTGAGTGGCTTTTTCGTACATAAATTTAAAAAGAAATAACCAAATTTAAAAAATATTACTTTAAATCAAATAAGGGAAAACATTTTTGTAAATTTAATGAATGCTTTAAAAAAATAAAGTTTTGAGGGAATGAATGGCATAATTTAGAATTTTCTTTGCTCTAAAACGTTATTGTTTTTTTTTCTTTGTGGGTGTTGTTTTATTTTTCTTATAAAATCGCCTTCAGAAGTAAAAATAAAAAAAATTTTTTGAAAAATTTATTTCAAAATAAAAATATATTTTCTTAAAGAAATTCGAGCTTTTTAAGTTAAATTTATTTCTTGAAAACCATTTTAAAATAGAATTCCGAAATTTTGTTAGATTTTTTGGGGATTCCTTGATGCGTTTGAAAAAACTAATGTGTTCTGAAAAAAACTTACTTATTCCAAAATTTCTAATTTCTAAGCCAGCTTTTTTCTCAAGGTTATAATTTTTTTAACAAGTTTAAAATGGAGTTTTATAATTTTTTTTTTAATTTTTTGGAGAAACCTTAACGCACTTGTAAAAAAATTAAGAAAAGCCGGTAGCAAAAAAATTATTATTCTTAATTTAACGAATACTTTCAAACATATTTTACAAATATTTTGTTTAAATTTCCTGTAGAAAAAAGACATTCAAAATAGCCGTTTTCGATTACCGTTAAATTAAAAAAAAAAAATTATGCTGCGCAAAAGTTTTTAAAATTACATATTACAAAAGCAAAGCAATTAAAATTAAAAAGTAGGTATGTATTAAAAAGTCTGAATTTAGTAGCACTCTCGAAATTTCTCTTTAGTTTTAAATTAATTAAAAATTAGGTACGATTTTTGCTCGAAATACCGCATTTTAAGAAAGAACTTGCACTTTTCCAGAATAATACATATTGAAAAAGCTTTTTTTCTAAGAATTATAAAAAATGGATGCAGAATTTTTTTACTTTAAGCGACTTTAAGAAATTTTAAATTAATAAAATAAAAAATTTTCAATGAATTATATTATGCACAAAATTTTAAGGAAAACATTTAAAAAAAATTGTTGCCTTTCAGTTTTAGTTTTTTCTCCTTATCTAGGTATGTATGAAAAAGTTTTAAACTACATAAATCAGTAAATAAATTTTTCAAAGTACCACAAATTATCATAATTTTTTTTAAGAAAAAAATTACCTTAAAACGTCTAGCTGTAAAACAAAAACTTTTCTCCGTATTTTGTTTAATAAATCCCTTCACTAAATATTTTCTCTCTTCTTTCCTTTCAGATTATAATGAAACGTTTCTGGAGAAAACTTTCCATTATATTGAATATGTACTGAATGAACCATTGGTGCGTGCGACCGAGGAGTGTGAAGATGACACTACTGGTACAGCGTTGGATGAGTTTCCTGAGTATTTTACATGTAAGTTAAAACAACGAAAAGAATAGATACGTATTATAATTCCAAAATTTAGCCCGAAACTTTTAAAGTCACAAATTACAAACAAATTAAAATGTAAATTGAAAACTCGTGAGTAGCAAAGTCACAAGCCCAAATTTTAGACACGCTTTAAATTCAAAAGTTTCGGCAAATCATTGCTAGTAGACACATCAGTGATGCTCAAAACAGCGCCCACGGGCGGAACTCTTCACAGCTCTCTGTAGATTTTATAAGGACGCGCACAGAGTAAAAGCTCTCTCCGAGCATCGAGAACATACATGCATGTATATGAGTGATGCTCAGAGAGAGCTTTTACTCTGTGCGCGTCCATATATGTAAAACGGTGGTGGGCAGCAGCTTTCCCGCAGGCAAAGCCCTTTCAAGCGGGCAGGCCGGTGCCCATCAAAGATAAAAAATCTACCGAAAGTTTTGAAGAGTTCCGCTCGCGGGCGCTGGTTTGAGCATCACTGTTCTAAAGCTTTTCAATGGACTTTATATTAACACGCAGAAATTAAAAGCTCTCATTGGCCATCACTAATATATGTACATATATAAAATGTATAAAAATCTTCTCTTGGTTAAATTTACCTTATCTCACAACATATTTATATGTTCAATTCACTTCTATTCTCAGTCCTTATCGAAAATAAAAACTACTTACAGTTAACAAGTACTATGCAGCGCACTTGAGTTTTCTAATCGACTAAAATCTGTAAATATTTAATGTTTTCCTAACCGGAGTGACTTAATTTCCATTGACGTTGAAGTCAATGGAATTTGATAAAATTCGAGTCCGAAATTTTGCCGGTATCATTTTCTCAATTAACACTTATTGATAAGGTGGGACTCGCTATCTGATCGCAGAATTTTTTTTTTAATAACATCACAATTATCTCTAAAAAAATTGGCGCTTGTGACATTACTATATTTAATAAATTTTAGAAATATTCTAAATTTTTACAAAAAAAAAAATTATTTCTTAACCTTATCAACAGTGGAGCAGCTGCGTCAAGGTTGGGTCGTGCTGCACGTCTTCGCCGCTGTTTATTTCTTCATCCTGCTCGCCATCATTTGCAATGACTATTTCCTGCCCACCGTCGAGTGCATTTGTGAAGATTTGAATTTATCCAAAGATGTCGCTGCTGCTACGTTCATGGCCACTGCTACCTCAATGCCCGAATTCTTTACGAATACGATTAGTACGCTAATCACAGATTCAGACATGGGTTTGGGCACGATTATCGGCTCGTTGATGTTCAATACATTGGGCGTGGCTGGTTTGGCGGCAATGTGTATAAATAAGGTGAGCATTTTTAGCAATATTAAATACATACATACAAACACGGCGTATACGTAACCGAATTCAAGACGGAATTTTGTATACTAATTTGGTTTTTATCTCCTTTCTATTTCTCTTTCTTTGTTCACCTCCTTCCAGCCCGTACAACTCGATTGGTGGCCAATAGCACGCGACTGTGTCATCTATAGCTTTAATACCATTGTACTCGTTGTACTCGCCTGGGGCGGCTATGTCAGCTTCGCCGAATCCTGCATTATGATGGGTTTCCTCTTATTCTATTATATTCTTACGTTTAATAACAACAAATTTATGCCTGCCATACGAGTTTTTGTCGAGGATAAGCTGAATTGTTGCATATCAAAGAGATATGGTAAGTAAAATTGGAGTATTTTTTTTTTTAATTTACAAAACAAATACTTGAAAAATTTCTATAAAAATTAAGAAGTTGTAAATTTATCTGTTACAGTTTCTTCTTATGTATTTCATACAAATAAGAACTCTTACTAAAACTTAAGATTTAAAAAGAAATAAAATATTTTTTGCTACCAACATTTTGTACTAAAAATAAACTTTTTTAATTATAGTGGAACCTGAAAAAACGAATCAAGGTTTGCTGAAACCAAATTTTAATATTAAAAAATTTCACTTTTTTGTTCTTGAAAATTTAAAATTTTCTGTTACAAATTGTTTAAACATTTTTTAATATTCAAAACCCAAATTCGTATATTTTTTTAATTTTAACTTATTTTAAAAATTATAAAATTTTGTATTATTTTTAGGTGTTGTTTTAAAAAATATGAAGCAATAAAATTAATTTTATTTAAATTTCAAACAAAATTTAAGAAAGGACTAAAATTTTTTTCTATTTCTGTACGTTTTATGATTCAAATAAAAAGAATTCCCAGGTTTTAACAGCTTTTAACTCTTAAAAAGATTCCGTCAAAATTTATCTTTTGAGAAAAAATTGTAAATTTTTGTTTTTTATTTTATTGTTTTGTAATTTTTCGAAATTAAAAAACGAAAGCAATTTGTTATGGAATTTCGTTTTTTTTCATATGCATCTTTTAGAATTTAATTTTACGTAGAAATATTTAAAAAATATTATTATGGAGTTTTGGTTTTTTTTTCATATGTATATTTTAGAATTTAATTTTACGTAAAAATATTAAAATAATTTAAGCTTAGTCTTTTGAGGCTTTACTCATTTCGAGACTCTTTTAAACTGTTTAAAGGTATTATTTTATTTGCTAATTTTCAAAAAAAAATGATATATTTTAAAATTTGCCATACAATATTTCTTGCAGCTAAACACTTAACAAAAATGTCAGCGCAAGATTTGAGTTAATTTTTTTTTTTATGTTCTTGAATAGATGAAAAAAAAATTATAATTTGAGGCAATTCAATCGAGTTAACGGTATTACTAATTGAAATATTCGGAATTTAATTGAAACTACAACTTTTTGTTTCGTTAAAAATTAATTGTTATTATTTTTTCTCAGAAATTGTTTACTTTTTGATTTTGCTGAGATTTAAATTTTTTGTTTTCAATTTTATATGTACCATTTTTAGTAAAATTATAAGTATGTATGTATGTATGTATTTTGAATTTTGTGTTTTGCTGTATTTTATTCATTTTTATACCTTTTTGTATTTTTTATGATATGTGTACATTTCGTTGTAAATTATTTATGCAAACTTTCAATTATCAAATCCTCACAGATTTCACCGAGCCACCAGAGAATAGTGCAAAGGCGCGTCTGCCACTCAAAAAGGATCCGCTGGGCGGTGATGGTCTATTTGTGATAAATTTACCTGATAATACCTCGACGATGTCGTCTACTGCGAATTTGACGCATTCGAAAAGCTGTAAGTGTAGATAGAAATTATTAAAAAATATATGTACATACTATTAAACGAAAAATATATAAGAAAAGCATTGAAAAAATTTAAGTCAAAAACAGAAAAAAAAATTTTGAGTATTATGACTGAAAAGATTAGTTTCTTGACATGTAATTGAAATTTCTAATAAATTTATTTAGCATAAATGCAAAAAAATGCTTGCACAATTAAAAAATTATATAAAAATTCCAATATCACACTTAAAAAATTTAAATCTAGAAAAAAAATGTATGATTTTAAATTATCACCTTATGTTTTTTCTTTAATCATATATAATCTAAATTACACATTTTTAATTAATTCGAATTTTTCATGAAGCCATTTTTACTCAATTTAAACTCGCGAAAAATGTTATATTTTTGTTTTTATTTAACTTAATCAAAATGTATTAATTTTGGAATGAAATTATTATGAAATTAAAAATTGAATGAAACAATTAAAAAATTTAAATCTAGCACGGAAACAACTTCGGTTTTAAATTTGATACAAATTTTTTCTTTTTTTTAGTAAAAAAAAATACCTTTTTTATAATACTCACTCTTCTCTCCTTTCTGCCAGGGAACAGCGACGAAAGCGATGACGTACCCCCACCGCCACGCAAACTTTTCTCCCTGCCACATGGAGAGACGACATTCAGAAAACTTTGGTGGGCCTTCGTATTTCCCATCAGATTTACACTCACCTTTGTCATACCCGACCCAGCGCTGCATCGTCGCCTCTACCCGTTCTCCTTTGTTATGTGCATCATTGCAATTGGTCTGAATGCTTACTTGATTGTGTGGATGTTAACAGCATTTGGTAAGTAAAATGTGTCAGTTCTTCCAAAAAGGTGATAATTACCATAATAATAGCAGCGAATATACATACATACATATGTATGTAAGTATTTGATTTTTATGAGGTTTTAAAACTATCTTACCGCTGCTGCTGCTGCTGCTGCTATAAATAATTATTACCAATTAAATGCCTTGTTAATAAGCAGCTAATTTGGTTTCTGTTAATTTTTAAATATTATGCTAATTGCATTTTTAAATAGTCTGGGGGGAATTCCAAGTCAAGAATAATGACTTAAATCTTGATATTACGAGTGAAGTTGAGTGATGGCAGATTAATTGTAGGAGTGAAGGCTACAATGCCGTAAGTCATGATTGACTTTATGCATATAAAAGTAGCTAGACTATTTGATTGAGTTCCGTTAAAAGCAGCTGCTCGCAAAAACTGATTAGTAGAATTTATCGATGTAGCGTTATGCGATCACTGATTTGATGTGACCTTGCTATGATATGCTCACAAACTAAAGCTGATTATGTGATGATTATTGATTTCGTATTGATTTCATGTGACGTGACGAATACACATGATGTGATATGAAGCATTTACATATCGTCGCCTCAATAAAATATTGTCGTATGTTACTTTCGACACAAGTTTGGTATGTAAACTAAGTTCGCGATACTTTTTACTCTATATCTCGTAAGCTAAAGGTGATCAAGAAACGGATGAAAGATCTTAGTTCATGACTCCATCTTTAACTCAATTTGTAATAAATTACCGATAACTTTTGTAGTCAATATATCGATAACTAAAGAAGAAATGTGCAAAACTGTTTGCACCAATCGAAAGATCTTATTTAAGTATGTATGAGGAAAATTCACGAGTTGTTCTTTTTTTTTTTAATGTCACACCCTTCTCTCGCCAGGAAAAAAAACGCTAAAGCATGCTTCTTGCATTTATGTTAATCAACGGAGTTCCAGAAACAAGCACAATAAAAAATGTATCAAGTATTTTAACAGCCTTAAAATATTTATTTAGGTGAAAAAGTACCGAAATTACTAATTTTTTCATTGTCACTCGAATCATAATTTCTGTTTTTAAATAACTTTGGAAAGTTTTCAAATATAATGCTCGTATTAGTGGCAATGAAAGTTGGCTCATATAAAACATGCGAGTGAAGTTCGAAGAGTGTGCCACCAAATTAAAAAAAAAAAAAAACATTTTAAAAGTTTAAGTTGCTTCAAAATTTCAACATTAAGCGTTGAAAATGTTCTTCTTGCCAAAGCAAACCATTCTTCAGTAATGAGACTAGCGTGCCATTTAACGAAAAAATTACATTGATTATAAGATGACGAAGATTTGCGAAAAAAAATCCAATTTTATAATTTTTATTGACACACTCGAAATTCATTCTAAAATTATTATACACATGAAGAAATTAATACATATCGAGCCATAACCGCCAAAATAATGTAACCGCTGTTTTTTATTTAATATTATTTTTGATGCAAATATTTCTGCATCAAAAATAAAATTTTGAAAAAAAATGTCGCTTACGTTGTTTTGGCCGTTGGGGTTCGATATTCGTCACGGATACTGTAGAAAAATATGTTTCGCCAATATTTAATTATTTTTTTTAAATAATATGACTTTTTTGAAGATAATCCATTGTCTAAGATAAGTGCGCCACCATTTTCGACCAAACGCACGGTTTTGCCGAAAAATGTTATTTGTGAGATTTGCTCATATAACGGCATTCATAACTAAAAATCGCCAAAATTCCGCTTACGACAATCTTTTATCCAGCCGACGATATATGATCTGATGATACTTGTATTGTGATTAACTCGTGGGATGTGACCGATATTTGTCGTGTGATATATATAGTTGATTTGATGTATGTATACATTTTATTGGTTGATTCCTCTGACATGATGAATCTATTTGTGTATTGTGATAAATACTATTGATCGCTTGCATACCTGCGAGGCGTATAGGCAAACCAAAATTGTTTTCCTTTTTTTAACTAATTTTTTTGTTACTATTTTAGGTGTCGCCATAAGTGTACCTGAAATTGTTATGGGTCTCACCTTCCTAGCGGCTGGTTCAACTATGCCTGAAGCGGTTTCCAGTTTGATTTCCCTACGAAATGGTGAGTTTCTCAGTTCATTGTATTCTCCATAGTCACACGCACTCACTCATTTAACTCGCCTGGCTAACGCTCAAAATTTCACTCATTATTTCATTTAGCTCATTATTAAAAGCTCACTCACAGCTCTCACTCACAAATTTTAAATTTTTCTCTTACTTATAGCCAATTTAAATGCCTCCTCTTTCTCTCCTCTCTTAATACAGGTGAAAGCGGCATTGGTGTCTCCAATTCGCTGGGCGCCAACTCACTTGCCATACTCCTTTCGCTGGGCGTGCCATGGTTCATTAAGAATTGCATGAATTATGGCAAAACAGATGGCAGTGCTATGATTAAAATTGCCGCGCAAGGTATTGAGTATAATATACTCATTTTGCTGCTCTGTACAATTGCGCTTTTCATCGTTTTGAGCTTTAGCGGCTATCGCCTAACCAAGCGCGCAGGCATAGCGTTGTTCTCCATTTATGCAATCTTCATAGTGCTGCAGATTTTGATCGAGATGAATGTATTCTTCCCGAAGCAGTGCTGAGGCCAGGACACAAGGGAATTACTTGAGAAAGGGAAGAAAAAAAGTGTAGCGAAACAGAAAGCAGATATTTTTTTTAATTTGTACTTTAAAAAATTTTGAGAAGAAAGCGAGCTAATTAAGACTGTTTAGTGTTGTAAGTGCGAGAAAATACCAAAACTTATTTAATGACAAAGCGTGAAGCCAAATTTAGTTGTTCAATTTTTAAGTTATGTTAATTTTTAAGTTGAGAAAAAAAAATTAAAGAAAATAATTGTTAAGTATAAAAATATTAAATATTATGCTAACACGAGCGTGTAAATATAAACAACGATTTTATTAGTGAATTACATTGTTAATATCTGTAAGTATGTACATAATTACATATTTATATTTTTCAATTCAAAAGTTAGCCAAAAAATTCGTGGTACTTATACTATTTTTACTTGTTTAATTTGTGCCACAAATCAATAGGTAAGGTAAAAAATTTAAAAAATTGTTATCAAGTGCAATAAAAAGGCTATTAAAAATTTTGCCAAGAGAATTTATACTCAATTATATAAGAGAAAATTATTTTTGATTAATTTTTAGTTGGAAATTATTGCGCAGACCTTGTGTGTTGTAGCTAATCAATTCAAAATCCAAAGGTAGGTATTTATTTAAAAAAAAATTATTTTGAAAAACTTTTTTTCAGAAATATTTATTTTTATTATTTATGCAAATAAAAAAAATATTTTGAAAAACTTTTTTTCAGAAATATTTATTTTTATTAAATGCAAATATTTTCTCAGAATTTTTTACATTAGATTTATGTAAACAAAAAGTTTATATTTAAATACTAAAAAAAAGTTGTCTTCACAAAAAGTTTTTTTTTTAGAAAAACTTGTTTTTAAATTTTTTGTTAAGCGAATTTATGTATACTCAATTAAATAAGAGGAAATAACGCTTAATTATTTTTTATCAAAATATGGTGAATTCCAAAACGTCAAAATACAAAGCATCAGTCTCTTTTATTTCTAAACCACACTAGAAGAAAAAGTCTAACTTGCGCAACTTAGCTGAAAACTTGCATCTACCCGTGGTTGCGCACATTTGACGTTACAATATACTGAGGTTTAGAAATAAAAGAGACTGATGCTTTGTATGTTGACGTTTTGGAATGCACCCAAACTATTCCCAGATGTTGCGCGTTATCGGCGAGCAGTAAAAAAAATTAAAAAATTACCAAAAAATTTGTTTTAAAAACTTTTTGTTTAAAAATATTTGTATTTTTAATTAACCGCAAATAATTCCTTTGATTTGTCTAAGTAAATAAAGGTTTTTGTTTAAAATAATTAAAAAATATTTTTTGTAAAAAAATGAAATGAAAAAAATAGCAATTTCTAAACTTGTGTTAATTTTTAAATGTTTAAATTTTCCTAAACGAATCAAATTTGGTTTTATTTAAAAAAATTCCCTTGAGCACTTCTTTTCATATGTATATGTATACAATATGGATGTTAAAACTAAAACTTTCAA